CTGTCTATAGTGTGGTCAGTTTTGCTTAGCTGCCTCCCTACCTGTCCACGTCTGGCTATGTGTGTGTTACTCAAAAAACAGAGTCAAGGACGGCTCCCCTTGACCAAGCTTCAGTTCTTGTGTTCACGTGTCTGCAGTACAACTGACTGTGCCTGTGAAGTACATATGCATCTTGTTTGTACATTCAGACTTTGTAAATTCAGTAAGGTGGTAACACATTCATCTAATACGCTCATAAATGAGCTAGTGCATGTCGACAGTGATCAAGAAGAGCCCTTCATTTGTGCATACTGAAACTTTGCAGGTATTGCCATCTCAGGTACAGTCAGTAGTCATGCGACGTCATAGCCTGACTTGAGACATGCTCTAAGCGCAACCCATAGTATATGTTATATCAAGTCTGTCACTTTGATGTGCTTGTTCTTTCTAGGAGCCATTTGCTATATCACTTCCTTAAAAGTTCTGTTCAAATACTTGAAAGAAAATAATATAAAGGATGGGGAAAGGCTTATTTTGGGAGTTTGACCAAGAATGCTTTGCAGAAATCAGTGGACTCAGTTAAACTAAGGAAGATGAGTTTAAGATTAGATTCTATATAAGAGAAGTCTTCCTAATACAAAGAGCCATTAGTCTTCTGAGCAGCTGCCAAGAGAGATTACAGGTGAACATCAAAGAGAATGCGCACCAAAAGATTAGCAATTAGATTTGAGGAGTCGGTTAGAAACTGAATCTGCATGCTGGTGAGCTTTTCTTGTGAGCTATGTAACCCCTGCTATTTCCTAGGGGGAACTGGGGAGACTAAGACCTTTGAAGAGATGTCAGTATTTGTCAGAGCAGACTTTTTAATGCCATAAGACATTTCCTGCAACAGACTGGTCTCCCAGTGAAGATATTTTTGACAATTACCATAATTCTTTTTGCTTTGATAAATTTAAAGACAAATAAAATGAAATGCTGGGAGAATACATCCCTGATGCATTTTTACTGCAGTTAAATGCTATCATACTTTCTCAGATGAACAGTACCCACTTCATACATTATAGTGAAACACATCCTGTGAATTCTGAAAGAATCTTATTTTGAATGGTAGAGGATCCCTTTTGAGACAGATTTTGTTGTAGAGATAAAAGCAAGTTTAAACAGTGATGTACTTGGATTGGATTTCCCCATCCTTTTTATTGCCATGAAAATGAAATATTGTACAGTAACCATTATTAAAAGAAGAAAATTAATTCACTTTCAATTAGCAAAAGCTGTTATATTACTGGTAGAAATACTATTAGAAATGCTATTGTTAGTGAGACACATTGGAACATATTATTATGGCTAAAGCAAAGACACAGGCAGCTCTGTTTTTATCAAATGTTACTGAATGATGTGTTACAGTATATTATAATCAATTAGAGAATTTACTTACATCACAGTATTACGAAAGGCAAGGCCTGCACTTGCAGTGATAATTTTAACTCTAGATTGCAATTGATGGGAAGCAAAACATTAGCTGAACAGAGAAAAAGCTTGCTTAAAAAGAACCTGTTCGCATGTTAAAAAAATAAAAATTGTCTGTCCTAAAGCTTCATTAGTGAGTTAAAATAAGGAGAAAACAAATGGCATAAAACTAAAAGAAAATAGTAGTATATTTTCTAACAAAGGTATGTTCAAATGTGTCCAGATGTATTAGTTTTTCTGTATTTGGCCAAAACAAGTCACAACAGTACGGAGTAACCTAGATCCTGAGATGTATTAAGCACCTGTCTGTCACAGGAACCTCCTGTCTATCAGCATATGGGCCCTAACAACAGAGAGAACTTGGACCCCTAAAGCGCACTCCTCCGTTCTTCCTTCTTCCACTAGGGAACTAGTAACCATGTTGCAAATAGCTATGGCAATATATTACAAAAAGGAAGAGACTAGGCAACACAGCAGAAAGTGAAAAAGCTAACTTCATGCCAGATACCTCTAGGGGAAAGAAGGTGTGTGAAAACAAAAGCAATGTTTTTGAATAGAAAACTATTCCTAGTTTTCTGGCAAGCATTAATCATCAGGGTACCAAACTCCTGCAGCTGAATGCTCAAATGGGACACACAAAATGAGCATGTATGTACTATGAACCAGGGGATTTCAGTATCCTCATAAGGTAACTGCCTTTGAACTTCAAAAACCTTGAAACTTGGATTTTGTTCACAGAAGTAACTCTGTAAAAAAAAAAAAACAAAAAACAAAAAAACCCCCAAAACCTATTTCTTACTGTACTTGCTCTTTGTGTGCATTTTGACTTATACCAAGTTAACTGACAGAAGTTGTTTTCATTTCTGTCATCATTTCAGAGCTGATACAATACAATAATGTGGGAAAGCACCATGTCTGTTTCGTATTTGCTGTTATTGTCATCATCTATCTAGAAGGTCGCTAAGGACTTAATCTTCAGTCAAACAAGAGCCTCACAAAAAATACATGAAATTGTAAAGGCTGTGAGGTTTGCCTCAAAACTGAGAGTCTAGACAATAAGATAACAGAAGATACAACCCAGCATGAGTACCTGGGGCAGAGATCAAATTCAACCTGAAAGATGCTCAGGTATTATAGTGAGGGTGTGACACCAATGCAGAAACTTAAAAAGCGAGGCAGGCTGTAAAGATGGCAAGCTCTTGTGCAATTAAAGCAATGTTATAT